TTTTTATTTTAATAATTTTTAAAAATATTTTTAATGAACATTTACAAGAGACAGTGACTTTTATACACAGAGACAGTTATAATAACTTTTCGTGTAAGTATAAAGTAAAAATTTTATACTGTCTTAGTTTGGGGTGGGTTTTTTTTGTATGATTGTGTGGTTTTGTGTGTCTTGCTTTTTTTTTTTTAATAGTTCATGTTAGCTCTACAAGCTATATTTGTCTAAACATTAGTGAAATATCAAATATATATGTATTCTATGAATTTTGTAAATGAATGGTTTAGAATGACTTTTTTTAAGGCCAACATAATTGTTAATAATTAAGTATCTTTTTATCTGCAAAATTTAGAAGATCCATTTTAAGTGTACCATCCTTAACTATTTGGAGAAGTCATACAAGAATGGGTTGTACAAAAGCTATATAATAATTTATTGAATTTTGATATGAAAATTTAGGTTAATAAACACTGATGTGTAGCATCCTAGCTATTTTGGAAATTTTCTTGTTCATTCTAAGAAATTGGAATTATGATTTTATTTTTGTCAAAGAATCATGATCAGAATATTCGTAAATAAAGTGAAAATACCAGTTTACTAATACAGATTGAGGAATATGACTATTTTAATTTAAATTATTTATAAGAAAATGTATATGGAGTAAATGATATTTATATAGTATGCATGATTCAGAACAAGGACTATGAGATAATTCAAGTATTTACTGACATAATTAATAATGGAGATGACTTTTAAATTAGATGAAAATGCTGTGTCCTTTGAAAAGGGCCAGGATTTTTTTAATGAATTGTCAGAGTTGGGTGTTTCTGAGTCCTGATGTGTTCCTCTTTGGCATACGGGCATTTCTTTAGGGAATGTGGTTGTTAAACTCTTGGCTGCTAATTGAAAAGTTTGCAGTTGGAACCCATCAGTAACTTTTTTGGGAGAAAGATATAGCAGTTTTTTCCTGTACAAACTAGAGACTGAAAACCACATGGGACAGTTCTCCTCTGTCCTTTAGGGTCACAGTTAGTCTCAGAAGGATTTGCATTTCTTTAAGATTGGCCTTGTCTATATTTTTTTCCCCCCTTTTAATATGGCACTTAATTGGTCAGTTTTTCACTTTGAGAATTAAAGGAAAAAGACACAGTGGATTTATATAGAAGATCCTTTAACAACTGATTTTTTTGAAAAATTTTATATTGGCTTATTTACAAAGTTTGTATACATTGTTTCTCCACACTGGATCTTTCCCATTTTCTACACTCTTAACAACTGATTTTAAAATCTTTTTGTTGCTGAGGACTTTCTCATATGCTTGGGGCATTGTTGAGGATACTGATAAGCCCATTGTTGCCTTATGTTTGTTTCTTCATAGTATGTATTTTTGTAGCCTCTATTTTAGAATAACCCTGACAACAACAACCTGGAATTATTTTTTTAATTTTATTAGTGTGTGTGTGTGTGTGTGTGTGTGTGTGTGTGTGTGTGTGTGTACCATCAAATCGGATCTGACTGGTACAGGAGGAGATTGTCACGCCTTTTCCCAGCAGAGCATCTGGTGGATTTGAACCGTGTGCCTCTGGGATTGCAGTGCAGTTTCTTGCCACTAGGCCACCAGAGCTCCCCCCAACCTGGATTTTTGAAGACACTCAAAATAGGCATCTGTCTCTTGAAATCATTATGGGCTAGGAAAATTTTTCTAGTATTTTCTTTTTTTTTTAGTATTTTTTATTTTATTTTATTATTATTTTTGTGTGCGTGTACCGTTAAATCAGATCTGACTGGTACAGGAGGAGATTGACCCTCCTTCCCCAGCAGAGCATCTGGTGCACCTCTGGGATTGTAGTTGCAGTTTCTGGCGACTAGGCCACCAGAGCTCCCCATACATTAATGTCCAGTAAAATCTGTTTTTTTTTTATTGTATTATTTTTACGTGTACCATCAAATCAGATCTGACTGGTACAGGAGGAGATTGCCTGCCTTCCCCTTCTCCAGCAGAACATCTGGTGGATTTGAACTGTGTACCTCTGGGATTGCAGTACAGTGTCTTGCCACTAGGCCACCAGAGCTCCCTTTGGTATTTTCATGAGTATGTATTTGCACTCTCTAACATCAACTGAACAATTTTCCCTTCAAGTATTGATGTTTTATGAAGAGTTAAATGACTATAAAATGGAGTTATTTCAATTTTTCTCCAGTATTAAGAAATCTTGGAATATTTGTATTCCAAGAATGAAATTAGTAAAGTGAGTATGGACTAATTAATTTGTTTACATAAACCCTAGTGTGCAGATATTAACTAGTGGTTAATTATTCTAGTATTAATAGTAAAGAAATAGGTTTGATCATAATTTGACAGTGACCTCATTGCATCTTTTCAAGGCTTTGTTAACATTGAATATACATGGATACACTGAATAGATGGGATTGGATTACGTTTTTTCACATGCAAAGAATGTTTTAAAAATGATTTCTATGTTATTATGTATGATATCTAACATTTTAACTGTTGCTTAATTTATGCAGTCAGTGTACCAAAGTTTTCAGCTAATAAGTTTTGAAAGCAATATAATGGGTCTTAATTAATTAAAAAAAAACAACCGCAAGAATGACCCGTAGTAAAGCTAAGTATTTTTTTGCCACACTGGCTTGTTTGCGTGCATGAGCATTGTGCATGCACATACAGCTCATGCGGGCAATGTGAACGGCTCCCACATCACTTTAGAGGTTCATATGAACCTGAGCTTAGTATCCTGATCTTATCAGTGTTAGTCAAGGAGATGCCCATTTCTTATCTTTTTCACAGTCATGCAACCTTTTTATCATCTTTTACATCACTCCTAAAATAGTGAAGCCATTTCTATTTAAAATTCATTTTCCTTTTTTCGAGGGGGCTCTGGTGGCCTAGTGGCAAGAAGCGGCACTGCAAGCCCAGAGGTACAAGGTTTGTGTCCACCAGATGCTCTGCTGGAGAAGGAGGGGCAATCTCCTCCTGTACCAGTCAGATCTGATTTGATGGTACATGCACAAAAAATAATAAAAAAATAAAATTCATTTTCCTTTTTTCTGTCAAGAGAGTATGTATATTTAACTTTAATTTTTACAGGCTATATGTTGATTACTCAGTAATTTGATGCTTTTCTGAATAATGGTCTAAAGAATCATAATTGCTTCAGACCTGCTCATATAACTTTGTGCAAATCAATGAGGAACTCATGATACTTTTCAGCTGAATGATTGCTAAGGGATAACTGTGATTGTACGAGGGTGGCTTTCTGTATTTATGATTGACAGTATTTATTTAGTCACAGTTAATAAGTCCTAAATTATCTGTTTTGTTAAAGTAGTAGACTTGGTTTTCAGGCATAAGGTGTCAGCATACAGCTCATTGAAAATCAAGCAGAAAGACAAGTTAGGTTCTGTACAGCTGGTGAAATGGCAGAGAAAGAAAGAGAGGGGGGAAAAAACCCACCCCAAAATAAAACATGGGGTAAGGTAAGCATGCTTAGAATGGTATAATGTAGTTAGATCTTTTTTTTTTTAATAGGTGGTATTGGGTAAAATGAGTAATTAAATGAGGGTGGGAGACCTGAGAGCAGGGAGGGATGGAAGTGGCATTTCCTGAGTTCATGGGACGGTGTTTTAAAGTTGGGATATGTTGGAGATTGGGGCATAGTGGCATATTTTCTTTCTCTATTGATTAGGTTACTGAAGAGCAGGGAAGGAGTCATGTATAGGAGAATGTCACTTGCAAAGCTATGGATTGTTTTCACTTGATGCATACTTTTACAGAAATATCTTCTCCAAGAAGAGAATTAAAATAATATCATATATCACATAAATTAAAGTTGGTATACATTTTTTTAAAAAATTTATGAGTTTAAGAATCTGATGAACTCTTTAACTTTGAATACATGTGTATATTGTCTTTGTCACTGTGTATAGAATGCATTTTTCATTGTTATAATATATGTTGTAGGTTTTTTAACATACAAAAATTTATAGAAAAGAGTTGACATATTTATCCTTTAATAGCAGTACATAATTGCTTCAGAGGTATTTGGAATGTTTTCAGGGTCTTGCTATCATAAATTCTACAGTTGTGAATTTTTTATTTCATGGTGCTTTTTAAATTAGTCTTTACTATGTCAGAGAAATTGTTCAGACGGTATATAAGTTTACCTAAAGTTCCAGTCCCCTGATTTTCCTAGTTGATTTTTGTCCTTACTAACGCAGGTATAAAAATACAGATCATCATAATGGTGATACTGCAACCACAACACTAAACTTACTGCTCTCAAGGCACTTCCAGTCCATACCCTGTGGGACTGAGGAGAACTGCCACACAGGATTTCCAAGGCAGTAAATCTTTACAGAAGCAAACTGCTGTGTTTCCTGTGGAGCAACTGATGGGTTCAAACCTTTTGGTTAGCAGCCAGGTGCTTTAACCAGTGTGCCACCAGGGCTCCTGATAGCAGAAGTTAGGGTTTAATCTTAAAAATGCCCATACTTTGAAAATAGTCAATGGTATTCATCTTCCCCTTTTCTTGTGTTTATTCTTGCTTCAGCTTACTTGCCCTTTCTTTCCCCACAGTTGTTTGTTGCTGGTTTGATTGTGCTGCTGTTAGATGAGCTGCTACAGAAGGGTTACGGCTTGGGGTCTGGTATTTCCCTCTTTATTGCCACCAACATCTGTGAGACCATTGTCTGGAAGGCCTTTAGTCCCACTACCATTAACACTGGCAGAGGTACATTGCACAGTGACTGCAACTGCACGAGTTTGTTGGATGTGTGCTGACAACTAATACATTATGTAGAAGTACATGCCTCTAGATATGCTAATTTGCTATCCCAGAGAACAACTAATGCTAACTGCTCAAAAATTTATAAGTAGAGATTTGTGGAATATGAAATAGTACTTCTTATAAAAAAAGAAAATCTTGTAGCCTTTGCACATTAAAAATTTCAGTGGTTGCCACACATTTAAAAAAATTGCGTTTATTAACCTTGCTTAAGCCATTGCTGTATGTCATTTGTTTAGCCAGTTTGAGCAAATCTAGGATGAATAAGCTGGTGGATTTTTTTAAATGAAACATATTATCATCAGGAAGTACTAATACTTTGCTGCTATTCTACTTGGATTTGTAATAGCACCTGAATTTTGAACTATTCTGTCTTTGCCTTTTACCTATCTTTATTTCACTCAAAAGCCACTCTTTTTGGTTAACATGTAAACTCTGATCTAGCCTTAAGAAAATAGCAGTGATGGCTCCTTACTATTCTTGGTATGACAAACTTAAAGATAAGCTTGTTTGAGCAACATATATCTTTTGATCTGACATCTTTATTCTGCTTTGCTGCTGCTGCTGCTGCTTCTCCTTTCCTCCTCCAAAAAAATACTATTTTTCCTTCCCCAAAGTAAAAGAGAGGCAAATTTTTATGAATTAAATATTTGCTTTGGTTTATTCTACGTTGGCTATTTTCATTAAAAAAAAAATCCCTTGAAAAAACTAATTTTTATGCTAAAAAAAAACCAAGCCAAAACCAAACCTTGGCCTCAATGATAAAATGTAGAATGTGTACACATGGCTGTTACATAAAATAAGAATTGCAGAATTATTTTGACTCATTTTCTTATTGTACACTGGAATTTCAAGGTTATTTGCTTTGATCCTTGGGATAATTTTGGATACTGAATTTACAGTTAATTTCTATTTGGTTTTCAGGTACTGAGTTTGAGGGTGCAGTCATAGCTCTCTTTCATTTACTGGCCACCAGAACAGACAAAGTTCGAGCTTTAAGGGAGGCTTTCTACCGTCAGAATTTACCCAACCTCATGAACCTCATTGCTACAGTTTTTGTGTTTGCTGTTGTCATATATTTTCAGGTAAGCATACTGTCCTCACTAAAGTTTGTAGGATGTGGGTTTTTATTTTGTGAGTAAAGGGAATGCAGAAATGTTGATGTCTAACCAAGACAGTCTTTCAAAGTCTAGTCAAGCCAGTTTTCTATTTTTTAGCCTTATTTTTTACTTGCTTATATTTTCTTGATATTTATTGTTTTTCTTATTCTTGATTTTTGTTTTTTAGGGATTTAGAGTTGACTTGCCCATTAAGTCAGCCCGGTATCGAGGACAGTACAGTAGCTATCCCATCAAGCTCTTCTACACCTCCAACATTCCCATTATTCTTCAGTCTGCCTTAGTTTCAAACCTGTATGTTATTTCCCAGATGCTGTCTGTACGATTTAGTGGCAACTTCCTAGTAAATTTACTAGGACAGTGGGCTGTGAGTATTTTGTTAATAATATTAAGTATTTAAAATATAATTGGCATTTTATGATTATATCTATACCTGAAAGATAGGAGACATAAAAGAAGCAGTTGCTGTAACATTTTTATATTCTCTTACTTAAAATTAATTTCTTCAAGTTGTGCTGCCTTAATGTCCATTTCCAGATCACTTCACCATCACTAACATTCTGATTGTGTTTGTAATATTTCCAAATAGAAGAGTTCTTCATAAAGGCTTCAGTATATTTTATCTGTGCAGTTGCAGGTTCCACTTGTAATTACTTCCTTTTTGAAGTGAATATTTTGTAGATATATTATGATAGTGTTTTATTTTTCAAATAGCTTTATGAAAAACTGCTTTTCTGTTAATAACATGTCACAATGTGATCTTGAAAAAATTAAGCAAAAATACATTTTTACGGAATCGTTAACCGTAGTTGATTTGAGCTTAAAACAAAGTCATACTTTTTAAGAATTATGAATAATCATGGATCTCTATTTAACCAGTTACGCTGATTTATTTTTTAATTTTTTAAATTCCTGTTCTGCAGGATGTCAGTGGAGGGGGACCTGCTCGCTCCTACCCAGTAGGCGGCCTTTGTTACTATCTTTCTCCTCCTGAGTCTATGGGTGCCATATTTGAGGATCCTGTCCATGTAGTGGTTTACATCATCTTCATGTTAGGATCTTGTGCATTCTTCTCTAAGACATGGATAGAGGTGTCTGGTTCCTCAGCAAAAGATGTAAGTATTTGACTTATTTGAAAATGAAAACAAAATTGTGAGCTTGGTTGAAACATTGGTTTTAGATGTCAAAAACAGTGCCACATATAATTTGTAATTTAAACTCTATTTCATACAATTCTTAATGAAATTATGTCACACTCAGGCAAAAATTGGTTCTTAGTGTGTAGATGGCACCTAACAAGAGCAAAAACAATGTGCAGAACATTCTTTGAAGGGCCACAATAATTTGTGGCCCTTCAAAACTCAACCCTAACCAACAAAATCTTATTCATGGCTTATTAATTTCTTGCATTAGGAACATGAAAGGGTAAGAAACACTGGTTTAATGTGTAGTTAAGGTGTAGATTTGCCTCACTGCACCATTTTCTCTTAGATTTGAGTAATATGGCAATGCCTACTTCAGTGTTTTTATATTTTGCTTGAAACTGCGTAGAAAGTTTTTCTTACATGACTTAATAATAAAGAGAAATGTTAGTTTTATTTTAAAATTTGTTGGTTTTTTTTCCTGGCAGGTTGCGAAACAGCTTAAAGAACAACAAATGGTAATGAGAGGTCATAGGGATACCTCTATGGTTCATGAACTTAATAGGTAAGGCCATTATATTCAGTCTTTTATATAAGAGAGTATGTATTTTAAAGCAACACATAGGTTGCTTCAAAAATCTCTTTATCACTGTGATTATTTGTTCATATTCATACTTAATTTTTTTTATACACAGTTAAAATTTAACACAAACATTAATTGCTGACCACATCTAAATTGTTACTTTAGTTGAAATTTTGTTCCATCTTTGCTCAGCACAAATTAAAAATGTGATTATCAGTGTTGACTGATTGCATATAGAAACACCAACCATAGATAGAGCTGCTTTTAAAAAAGTACTGTTTCCTCACCTTTTGAGTGCTCTGATGTTGTAGTGAGTAGAAAGCTGGGTAACCCAGACGCGGCAATTTGGTAGTTTGAATCCACCAGCTGCATGACAGGAGAAAGATGTGACTTTATAGTCTGAAAACCTGTTGTGGAGGACCGGCTAAGAGTTGGTTCTGACTTGACAGAAGTGAGGTGGTTTTTTATTTTTCCATTTCCAGGAATTGGATTTAAGTAGTTTGGTGAGCGTCCCAGGCATCATTTTTTTTGTCCTTCAGTATTGGCCTACTTGAGATAATTCACTACTGTGGAGTTCACCATTTGAAATGTACAGTTCAGTGGTTTTTGTATATTCAAAATACTGCAAAAATCTAATTTGAAACATTTTCATCATCCCAGAAAGAAATCTTATATCCAGTTGCAGTTATTCCCCATTCATTGGTTGCCCTCCTGTTCCCTTTGCCCTAACAAACTCACTGCCATTAAGTCAGTTCTGACCCACAGTGATCCTTCATTGGATTTCCAGGGCTGTAAATCATAATGGGAAGAGACTATAAGAGGCACATAACCTTTGAGCTAGTTGCATATCGTACACCTCACTATGGACCATGCCACAAGAGTGTCCTCCCTATTCCCTGTACCACAAATCTATTCTTTGTAGATTTGCCTGTTCTAGCTTTCATATAAATGGGAATCAAAATCTGTCATTTTGTGAATGTCTTAGTTTACATAGCATGTCTCCAGGGTTTGTTGTTGTTGTTATGTGCCATCGAGTCGTTTGCAACTCATAGCGACCCTATGCACAACAGCCCTAAACACTGCTCTATCCTGTGCCAATCTCATTGCCTCTGACACACCCATCCCGATTACCCCAGTCACTGAATCAATCCACCTCATAGAGGGTCTTCCCCTCCTGCGCTGTCCCTCCACTCTACCCAGCATGATGTCCCTCTCTAAAGACCTGTCTCTCCTTACAACATATCCAAAGTATGTCAGACGAAGCCCCAGAATCCTTGCCTCCAAGGAGCAGCCTGGTTTAATCCTCTCTAGGATGAATCTGTTTGTTTTCTTGGCAGTCCATGGTACATTCAATACTCTTCTCCAGCACCACAGCTCAAAGGCGCTTCAGGGTTTATTCACGTTAAATGAGCAAAACCTGTATCAGGGTTCATCTATGTTAAAAGATCACAATTTGCTATCACTAATTTATTTGGAATTTAGAAAGCGTTCTGAAGTTTATTATCCTTTCTTCCACAAGAGAGAGCTGGTTACTGATAAAAAATATTAATTACTTAAATCTAAATTGAGGAATTGTTAGCCCTAAGAACCACATACTGTCTGTTGTGGCTATTTACTGGCTTCTTGGGCAGTTAGCATCATTGGCATAATCACACACTTTTCATTCACATGTGGTCTTAGTTGTGGAGACTTGGTCCTTTCATGATGAGTTTACTCAACTGCTTTAGAGCAGCATCAGTAACAAAGCTTTAGCATATTACTAGTTTGACTTGGTTTTTGTAGTTTGCTGCACTGACTAATGGTTTTTGTCTTCTAGGTACATCCCTACTGCAGCTGCATTTGGCGGTTTGTGCATTGGCGCCTTGTCAGTGTTAGCTGACTTCTTAGGGGCCATTGGATCTGGCACTGGAATTCTACTTGCAGTCACTATAATTTATCAATATTTTGAAATATTTGTTAAGGAACAGGCTGAAGTTGGAGGGATGGGTGCTTTGTTTTTCTAAATGTTCAAGTATTTGTGTGTGTGTGTGTGTGTGTGTGTGTGTGTGTGTGTGTGTGTGTGAGAAAGGGAAAATATTTTGACACATTTTGTCAAATGATGCTGGTTCCCCCTTTCCCCCCTCCTCTCAGTTTCTTGTTTTCAAGTGCTAAGTGCCCCATTTCTGAAATGGGCATTGAGCTAAGCCTATGTGCAGCATTAGTACCAGCTGCCTTAAAACTCAAGTTTACATTATTTGTTCAAAGTGTCCATCTAGTGTTGCCTGTAATGCTGGAAACCAATGGATCTCCCTTGCCGTGTTCAGTCACCAGTGAGATGGTGACGTGAATTAGTTTTGCACACAACATTCTGAACACTTAATATTTCTCCCACTTGTTTAAAAATAAATGTAGTTCAAATTGCCACTTTCCAGTATTTTTGAGCTTATTTAATGAGTTCTGGAACATTTATATCTAATCTCTATTTTAGATAATTAATTTTTATACTTTTTTAACCCATAGTATCCATGTGTCCTCCTTGCCCCTTCCCACCCCCTTTCATTTGGCCCTTCTCAAAGCAGCCACTTAGCCCAGATGGGCAGAATTAAGCTTCAGAGTGATACCTGTAGTACAAAAATTTACATAAAATTGATTACTCTTCCCATTTTTCATTTCTTTCCAGGGACAGCATAAGCAGTGCTGTTTTACTGTATTGGCTATGCTTTCTAATTACAACACGTCACTTGTGAATACTCTTAAGATATTTTGTTTTGTGTGGCTTCTTCTTATTTTTTTTTTTTAAATCCCTAAAGAAAAAGATCCAATTCTCAAGCAATGTCTGTTGTTCAGTGGGGGTGAACAATAATTTCAAGAATTTGTGTATGTTGTTGTACTTCACAGCAGCAACATGAATTAAATAGTAAACAATAAACATTTATTTAATGAAACAGTTTCAGCTGTGTTAGAACAATAAAGATATCTGGTGTTAAATATTCTCTAAGATTATTTGTATAGGTTCATTGTATTTATACAAAATTGATCCTGAAGTGCCTTTTGAGACGTAAAAGCTGTTAAGTATTAACTACAGTTTAACATTATCCTTAAATACTGAGACAGTGACTATGTGATCATCATTTGGAAAGGAACAGGAAAATAATGGTCTCATGAAAATATCATTTTAGCCTTCTTTTGAAAGGTTGTTTGCAAATTTATTTTTTCAACCATGTTCCAGAAGATCAGACTTAATTTTAAGCATCCTTTTCAGAAATATGGGTTTCCATCTTTGTTTACTTTCTCAGTAGCGGAAGTATGTCATGTTTACTAGCTTAGACATAAACCAAATTCTGTAGGTGCAAAGCAAGTCAAGTAAAGCCAGGTGGGATAGTTAGATGGCCACCTAGGGGACATGTTGGGATCTCAGACCATCTTTGCCAGCAGAGAAATATGGACCTGGTATTAAGATTTCTGACTTTGAAAACCATCAGATGCTAGTTTCCAATCTTCGACTGACTTTCCAAAGCAAAGACATTAAATGTTTGTAAATAATGGCGCTAGGGAAATGTTTAGGTTTAGCGGTCACTTCTAAACTGCATTATGATAAAAAGGGAAAGGCAGGTTACAAAACAAGTAAAGGCCATTCTACATTCTGGGAGATCTTAGAAGGAACATTTGTTTTTTTTTTTTTTTTTAAATTATATTTTATTAATTTTCATAAACATTTACAGAGATTTTGGGCTTCCACTCATTCATTGTTGCACTATTCTCTCTACCCTCCTCCCAGTTTGTTCTTGTCCAAATGCCACAGTGCTTGTCAAAGCCAGTTCTGATTAATCTTCTTTGTCAGTGTATCCTTTGCCATTCCCTATCACTCCTCCCTGAGAGAGACTTCACCCTGAGTCATAAGGAAAAGGGGACGGCGTATTCTCTTAGCTACTTCCTGCTGAAAAGGGACGCTGTGGGTTTCAGGGTGAAGATCTCTCACTACTCTAAAGGGCCCCTTTGGCAGTAGGAAACACATAGACTATTATGGAGATTGATTTTGGAATTCAGATGCACTCTTATTGATTGTGCTTGGCTGTACATGTACATATCCTTCAAGATGTATCATGGGGGTGTTGCAACCTAGAAGACACAAATTTGACTAACAAGTTATAAGTACATGAGTCCAAAAATTATGGAAAAGTAAAAGAAAAGATTCTTTCATTGTTTTACAAACCCTCCCCCAGGTCCCCTCCATTGAGGTTTCTTGTTGTTATGTGCCATTGAGTTGTGTGTAGCTCATAGTGACAGTAGTACAGTAGCTCTAAAATCTGCCCTGTCCTGAGCCACTGACAACACAACTACCCCCATTTCCCTTGTTACTGTATCACTCTATCTTATCTGGGGTCTTCCTTTCCTGTGATGTTCCTCCACCCTTCTGAGCATAATGTCCTTCTCCAAGGACCGGTCTCTCCTGGCCATGTGCCCAAAGTACGTGAGATTATTGTTGTTGTTGTTTTGTGCCATCAAGTCACTTGCGACTCATAGCGACCCTTTGTATAAGATCTCTAAATGCCGTTCTATCCTGTGCCAACCTAGCCATCTCAAACACACTTATTCCCACCGCTCCAGTCACAGAATCGATCCATCTCATAGAAGGTCTTCCTCTTCTTCGCCGCCCCTCCACTCTGCCAAACATGATGTCCCTCTTCAAGGACCATCCCCTCCTTACAATATGCCCAAAGTATGTCAGACGAAGCTTCAGAATCCTTGACTCCAAGGAACATTCTGGCTTCACCCTCTCCAGGACAAATCTGTTTGTTCTCCTAGCAGTCCATGGTATATTCAACACTCTTCTCCAGCACCACAGCTCAAAGGCATCAATTCTCTTTCTATCATCTCTATTCACTGTCCAACTCTCTGATGCATAGCACATAATTCCGAAGACTATATCCCGAATCAGGCGCACCTTAGTTAGTCTCCAGCCTGATGTCGTTGCTCTTCAGTATTCTTAGAGCTTCAAAATCCTAGCTTCCAGGGAGAAACTTGGTTTCACTCTCTCCAAGACAGACCTGTTTTGTTGGCAGTCTATGGTATGTTCAAGACTCTTCTTCAGTATCACAACTCAAAGGCATCAATTCTTCTGTCATCCTTAGTCATTGTCCAGCTCTCTGATACATTGCAAGTAATTGCAAAGCTCATGGACCAGATCAGGCACTCCTTAGTCTCTAGAGTGACATTGTCGCTTCTAAGTATCTGGAGAGTTCCCTGATAGCAGACTTATCAAATGCAATTTGTCTTTTTATTTCCTGATTGCTGGTGTTAAGAGTGTTGATTGAGTACAGAGAAAAAGGGATCTAATGATGACAGTAAAATGCCACTCTCTATCAGCCTTTAAGAGGTTTATCACTTTGGGGAGTGGCTCTGGAAGTGGGCTATCATAAAAAGTTGGCCTGTGCCCATCTGTATGAATGCATACAAGTTCCTTGAACTTGAAGGAAAATTAATGACAAGGAAAATGACAAGATTAAGCCTTAGAGTGCTAAAGGAAAAGGATTAAGGTATTTGGAGACTCATGACATGGACTGGAAAAAAGTTTTAAAAAGGGCTGCAGGCCCTGAGGAAAGCAGCTATATTATAGCAAATACTCATCTTAATTTCTCTAATAGGAATAGTGGATTTGAATGATTAAATTGTATAGTGCTATCATTCTTTTAATCCTTGTTTAAGAAATCCAGTATAGCTTTGCATTTTAATTCAGAATATCTTTGAACAACAGTGAACCTGTAAACAAATGACCCACATGACAGCAATTTAGGCATTCTCTGAACTAGCACACTGTCATTGTGTTGGAACTGATTAATAGCTGACCCTCCAGTGGATTTTTGGAGGTTGTAAATTACATGAGAGGAGATTGCCTGTCTTTCTTCTGAGGGGCTGCTGATGTTTCAATCACTGGAGGTGCTACTTTTAGGTTAGCAGTTCAACTCTTTACCTGCTAGGCCACTAGGTCTGCATGAATTTTTTTTTGGCATCAGCACCCTGATTTGATCTGAACAACTTTGTTGTAAGTGGCTTCACATGACTCCTGAAGTCAGGGCTAGAAACATGATAGGGCTGGCCAGTGAGAATCATCCCCATTGGAGTTACCAGAAGTAGGGCTGGCTGGTACAAGCATAATCACGGAGGGATTAGCAGCCATAAAAGGCAACACAAGTTTACACAAGAGGCTCTGTCAATGACCAGTAACTTGGGTAGCATTTTTTAATGACACTGGCTACCTGGTACTTTCAGACCTTACTAGTTCTTCCCAGTGTAACATCAAGACACCATTGGACAAAGCCATATAAATTTCAATGGCTTTCATGTTTAGAAACATCATTTACCTTAAGATTATGTTTTTTTTATTCAATTTGATACACTGATTAGAACAAAAGCAGTTAATTATGCTTTACAAATACAGTATTATTACACCATTGTGATACGGCTTTACACTGACTGTATGTAAAGGAAAAAAATAACATCAGAATAAAGGCATGCACACACCAAGCACTTTACCCTCAGACAGTCCTTAGTAAAAATCTTATGGTTAAGTAGTGGTTGGTATGGCTACATGCAGTTCAGTCACTGCTTTGAAGGATAAGCTCTGGGTAGAAAATTAATTCTTAAACAGTTCTCTCCTCCTGGCCCACAATGGCCAGCAGCAGCTTTTGGTGTGCTCCACTGGGGTCACTTGCAGCCACTGTGCTCAGGATCTTCTGATACATCTGATTGAACACCTGTTTTATTTATACAAGGTCATTCTCACGTCGAGTAACCACAATCCTGACCAAGGTAGAGTTGTCCATTCCAGTAAAGCCTCTTAGTAAAGAAGGCAGAACAGTTCAGGAAACACTGCAAGAAAACTTTCAGACCACTCGCAACATTTCTGGAGAACTCTCAGTTAACACTGAGCATGACAATCTGGAAAACCACTTGGCCAACTGACTAGAAGAGATCTCTATTTGTTCCCTTTCCCCAGAAAGGTGATCCAAGAGTGTGGAAATTAATATGATTAATATCACATACAAGCAAGATTCTGCTGAAGATTGTCCAAAAACAACTGGACTAGCACAGAGAACTGCCAGAAGTGTATGCTGGGTTTACAAGGGGTCATAGTGCTAGGGATATTTTAGCTAATGTTTGAAAACGGAGTACCAGAAGAACGTCTGTGTTTCATTGATTATGCAAAGGCGTTTGACTGTATGGATCACAACAAACTGTGGCTGACTCTGAGAAGAATGGGAATCCCAGAACACTTGGTCATGCTAATGAGGAACCTATACCTCGACCAGGAAGCAGTTGTCAGAACAGAGCAAGGAAACACTGCATGGTTCAAAATTGGGAAGGGTGTACACCAGAGATGTGTCCTATCCACATACCTTTTCAATCTATATGCAGAACAGATTATCTGGGTGTCTGGACTCTGAATAGAAATGTGGCATCAGGATTGGAGGAAGACTCACCAACAATCTGCGTTATGCAAATGACACAACCCTGCTTGCTGAAAACAGGAGGACCTGAAGTACTAGCTGTGGAAGGTCAGGGACAGCAGCCTTCAGTATGGATTGAGGCTCAGTATCAAGAAAACAAAGATCCTCACCACTGGGCCGACTGGCAGCATCATGATGAATTATGAAGAGATTGAGATTGTTCACAGCTTTAGTTTGCTTGGCTCCACAATCCTGACACCAGCAGCCAGGAAATTTAAAAGATGTATTGCGATGGGAAAGTCTGTGGTTAGGGACCTCTATACAGTACTGCAGAGCAACAATGTCAGTCTGGAGGCTAAGGTGCACCTGATATAGGCCATGATCTTTGCAATCACTTGCTATGCCTTAGAGAGCTGGACAATGATTAGGGACGACAGAAGGTGAACTGATGCCTTTGAGCTGTGGTGTTGGAGAAGAGTATGGAATATATCATGGAGTGCTAAGAAAATGAAGAGATTTGTCCTGGAGATGGTGTTCTGAAATGCTCCTTGGAGGCAAGGATTCTGAAGCTTTGTCTGACATACATTGGACATGTTGCAAGGAGGGACCAGTCCTAGGAGAGGGACCTCATGATTGGGAGGGTGAAGGGACAGCGCAGGAGAGGAAGACCCTTGATGAGATGGATTGTTTCAGGGACTGGGGTAGTGGAGATTGGTGTGGCAAACAGATTGGCACAGTATAGGGCAGGGTTTAGGGCTGTTGTACATAGGGTTGCTATGAGTTGCAGGAGACTTGATGGTACATAACAACAGCCAGTCTCAGCAGAGAAAAGCTTCTTGTGGCAAGAATATGTTAAAGCAAGATCTCTCTGTTCTTAGTCTTCCCTCACCAGCTTGATAGAGGTGCTGATCATTCCTGAGCTGTTTGATGGTTCACATTCAGTTCTCATCATGATTTCCCTGGCATAGATACATGTAGAGTGCATTCTTAATGCACTCATGAATCTGATCTAATGTCTTTTTCAAGGTGTAATCCAAAGTCTGATTCAGAACATCTGACATTTCCTCTTGGATTTCCTGATTGGTTTTGTGCATAAAATCTCAATATTCATTTCTGCTTCCTTCATTGCGTTCTGTAAACTCCAGGCATCATGAACATGGCAAGGATGACTTTTTCCACATTACCACTTAACTTTGACTTGAGATCTTTGATTAAATCCCTGCCATACAGGGTCTTAAAAGCAGCTTTAATTTTTTGCCTTTGATCATTGGAATGGTTGGGCACTATATTCAATATTGCCTGCTCTTCTGTCCAAAACCCTTCATCGCTTTTAAGACAATTTAATCTTTCATAACATCAAAGTTGGATGCAGGTTACAGTGTTCCCTGAATGGCCAGTTATCACTGCAGGATGATTGGGGAAAGGAACTTGTCCACCAGGAAACCCACCTGGCATTGGAACCCATGATGGTAGCTGTGTATAGCCAGAAAAGGCTCCACTTGGTGGGGCTCCAAATCCGTGGCCTCCAGGGTAGGATGGGCTCCCTCTGGTTGTGGAGCATCAGGATAACCTCCAGGAGTTGAGAAGCCTCCAGTGCCTGGGTAGCACCACTTGGACCAGGTGGGTTGGCACCTCCTCCCATTGGAAGAAAGCCATTAGGCTAAGAATACTAAGCTGGAGGGGGAAATGACTCTTCTTGACCTGGAGGAGGATATCCAAGGAACGGTAGGTAGCCTGTCAGGGGAAAGACTGGGAAGGACATTGTATATTGAAGGAAGCCACTTGTCAACTACCTTTTGAGGTGGTTAAGTGCTGCTGTCAAGTTGTAACTCAGTGACCCTATGACCAAGTGGTCTGAACATTTGCCTATCATGTACCATCGTCATGCCAACACAAAATGAGTCCACTGCTACAGTCACCACATCTGTTTCCTTGAGGGTCTTTACCTTGTCTGATTCTTCTTTTCGAAGCATGATGTCCTTTTTCGAAGATTTGTGTTCCCTAACAACATACCCAAGTTTCACCATCCTTACTTCCAAGGAGCACCCTGGCTATGCCTTTTCCATGACATTTGTTTGTTCTTTGGCAGTCCATGGGATAATCAATTCTCTTCTCCAACACAACTCAAAGGTACTGATTCTTTTGTCATCCTTACTCACTGCCTAACTTTAGATGCATGGAAAGATCCTGAAAAGATCATGGTTTGGATCAGGTGCACCTTAGCCCTTAAACTATTATCACTGCTCTTTAGCACTTTGCCAAGATCTGTGGCAATGCATCTTTTGTATTGATTTTCTGAATGTGGTGCTAGGGGTACTGAGAGTTGATCCAAGAAAGATGAAATCATTGAACATTTCTCTCCATCTAAGAGGATGATACTGGCCCAGTGGTGAGGGAATTTTGTTGTCTTGGTGTTGAGATGTCACTCATACTGAAGGCTGTGATCTTTGCTTTTCATGTCCTCACTTTCGGCAAGCAATGTCATCTATATAACACAGGTGGCCAATGCATCTTCTTATCCTGATGCCACACTCATCAGGATATAGTCCAGCTTCTTGAATTATTTGCATACAGATTGAATAGTTACACAGAAAGGATACAGCCCTGTCTCTCTCTCTCTCTCACACGCACACACACACACAAACTTTTTTTAAATTTCACACCATGGTCTTGCTCTGTCGGACAACTTCTTGGTCTAGGTATAGATTTCACATGAGCATAATTAAGTGTTCTGGGATTCCCATTCTTCTCAATGCTTCTGAGGCAGGGATAGGAAATCAGATTCTAAATAGAGTGAGTGTGTACATGCTGGAGGGATGGATATCTTTTGTTAAGTAAGTAATAATACTAAATGCAATGATTTGCTTATCAAAAATATTCTCTTTATTGATTTTGTTTAATGTTCTCCTATCCAGTTGAATTGTACAAAACCAAAATACTTAAGAGAAGCCTGGAAAGTGTAGTCTTTTGAAAAAAACAAAAAAAAAAAACCAAAAAAAAACCCCAAACAACACTAATGGAGTAAATAGTTATCTTCTTAGTTATTTCTCAGAAAATTTAATATGGGCTGGGTTTCAGATTAGTTGACCTCATTTGAAACTCATGTCTAGTTTCCTACGAAAACATTCTTGTCGCTAGGCTACATTAAGAGAGTTAACAGTTGAGTTTTCTTTTTTAATTTGGAGAAAATATATCTACATTTATTGTTCCTTCTTACTAATTTTAGAGCTTTAACAAATTCAAATGAAAGTTATAGCCTTCGTGCAATTATTTTATATAATTACATGCATTCTGTGTTGCTTTGATTTTGTGAAAATACTAATTTCAAATATGTATTAAATTATGTTGGAATGCCCAGTATGAGTGAAGGCTAGGTGATCTTTTAAAAAAAAAACACACCAAAAAACCCCACACACCACCAAACCAACATGTCTATTGTCCTTTTTGGCCTTAAAATTTCAGGAAGGGCACTTCAAATGGCTTAGTGTTTGCATGTTTCAGGGCCAAAGCATATGAATAGACTCTGGCATCCACTGTAAGATGTTCTTCAGCTACCAGAGCTAAAGGAAGGAAAGAATACAAGTTAGGGAATGTAATTAATAAGCAACAAATAACACATAAGTCAATTACTATTTACAGAACAAAGTTCCTATGCTTGATGCTGGTAATAACATCAGTTACAGTGCATATTCTGTCTTCAAGGATCTTAATTTGGTGGCAGAGTGAGATTTCTATTCCAGCACTGTTGTTGTTGTTGTTATGTGCTGTGGAGTTGCTTGAGACTCATAATGACCCTATGTACAACAGCCCTAAACTCTGCTGTGTCCTGTGCCAATCACACTGTCTCCGATACACTGATCCTGATTACCCTAGTCACTGCATCAATCCACCTCTTAGAGGGCTTTCCCCTCCTGCGCTGTAACCTCCACCCTACCAAGCATGATGTCCCTCTCTAAATCCGAGACAGTGATTTTACTTCTTAAAACAGCAAAATGTTACAGATCCAACTGTGACACATTTATATAGTTCACTCTTGGGCTCTGCTACTCTAAAATGATCTTTATATATTACTTTACTTGGAGATTCAGCTGTCTTTTTCACTGGGAGCCACAAGTCTGTACATAATAGGACTGGAATGATACTATTATGAAGGAGGTCTTAATCTTACTACTTAGATGGACTAGGTCAGACTCCACAGTATTCAAGCTACTTGTTCAGGAATAAGCTGAGACATTTTGATCCTAGAAGGCAGTTATCAGGTGGTTCTCATGTGTATGACAGATATTTGACAGGTGCTCAATGCCATTTCTTCTAGCAGAGTCACTCTTCATTTATCAGTAGTCATATTTGACACTTCCATGATGCTAATAAAAGCTGTCTGATTACGCCGATAACAGGTCTGGAAGTAACATTCTAAAGCCTGAGGTCAGAGTAGAACTGGCTGTGAGGGTTACAGCAAGTTTATGATCTAAATTGGCAGTTGTGTAGTAGTCATTGTTCATTTTGTGACCTGATGTGATAATTTTCAATTTTTATACTAACATAATTTTTATACTAATAATAATTTTTATAATTATGATTATCACATAATTATGTAGTCTTTGGAACATAAACATGTCTTAAGTAAGTGAGTGGATGTACTTTCCTCACAATTGCTGAAATGTTACTTGGTGAATAAATTATTTGATTATTGTGAGTCTAGTATAATTGAGGCTATGGGTACTTTTATCCTCCCTCTTTATATCTTTTCAACCTCCACTTTGCTTCCTATATTTTCTCCTTCTCAGAACCAGAAAGGAAGTGATGTTAGGTGGAAGGGATAAAAAAAAGGGAATTTTTAAAAGGCACTGTTCTAATACTAAAAAATAATACACGTGGCATAGAACATTTAAAAGCTCTTATGTTCCAAGAGCTTTGTATATTTTATGTCATGTCCTTTTACTTACACATCATCAAAGGCAGGAACTATTGATCATTATTTTATTTGATGATAAAGCTTTAGCAAAGCTAAAAACCAACCAGTTAGTAAACTGAGCTGCAAACCCCTTGAGGCCTGCCAGAATCAAAGGTGTGATATCTTGTGTAAGATAATGATGGCTTGCTTTAACAAAGGCATTTAAAAATAAAGTGATATAGTTATGAAGTGAAACTAAGTGACTGGTACAAAAGAAGAGACTGCACTCACTTAATGTAAAAAAAAAAAAAAATTATGCTGAAGAGTAGTGGAAAGGGGGAAGGAGGAGTTCTGGTGGCACAGTCTGTATCATGTTGTGCTGCTAACCTAAAGGTCAAACCTCTCTGGCAGTTCAAAGCCATCAGATGCTCTAAGAGACAATGATGGAGTCTCCTCCTTTTAAGATTACCACTAAGGGTTAGAATTGATTACATGGCAGTGTGTTTGGTTTTGGCTTGAGTGGAAAAACTGTATATCCTTTTAAAAATACAACCAGTCAAATATCATAGTTATGAAAATGATCTTTTATGAGTGGAGATAAACTCAAGACAGCACAAACTTGAAAAGACCATGCCATACCTGTGTAGTATGCTGTTGTGTACCTCTGAGTTGCCTGTGACTCATAGTGACCCTATGAATAACAGCTCCGAGCCCAGCCCTATCCTAAGCTAGTACCACTGTCTCCAACACACCTATTACCCCAGTCTTCCTTTCCTGCACTGTCCCTTCACCTTTCCAAGTATGAGCTCCTTCTCTAGGGATTGTCTCTCTCTAGGCCATATGCCCAAAGTATGAAAGACGGAAATTGAAAGTCCCTGCCCTGAAGGAGCAGCCTGGTTTCACCCTCTCCAGGATTGATCCATTTGTTCTCTTGGCAGCTCATCATACATTCTTCTCCAGCACCACAGCTCAAATTCTTCTGTTATCACTGGTCATTATCCAGCTCTCTGATGCATAGTAAGTAATTATAAAAACCATGGCCTGAATCAGGCACACCTTAGTCTCTAGGTTGACACCATTGTTCTTTAGGATTTCGTATAGTATTTGTTAATGTATGATGCTTTACAATTAAAGGATGTCTGTCCACTTAGTCTTCCTGCTTTACAAAAGCCCTGTAATGGGATGGGATGAAGAATGTGGCATCAGGATTGGAGGAACATTATTAACAACCTGAAATTTGCAAATGACACATCCTTGCTTGGAAGAAAGTGAACACTTAAACCATTTATTGAAGAAGATCAAAGGCCTTCAATATGGATTACCTCTCGACATCAAGAAAACAAAAACCCTTGGGGAGCTCTGGTGGCCTAGTGACAAGAAGCTGCACTGCAATCCCAAAGGCTCATGGTTCTAATCCACTAGAAGCTCTGCTGTAGGAGGAGGGGCAATCTCCTCCTGTGCCAGTTGAATTCAATTCGACCGCACACACCAAAAATAAAAAAAAACAAACCAAAAAAAAAAAACACCAGTAGACCAAAAGGCTATATCATGATCAATGGAGGAAAGATTGAAGTTGTTAATTACTATTATTTTTTAATAACAACAACAACAACAATAATAATAGTAATTATTATTATTGTTGTTATTATTATTAACTTAGAACCACAACACTCCAGGTAGTAGCAGTTAAGAAATCAAGATGTGTTATGCTGGGAAAATCTGCTGTTATAAAACTCTCTAAAGGCCTAAAGAGCAAGGATGTCAATTTAAAAACGAAGGTGTGCTCAAACCAAGTGGTGGTATTTTCAGTTGCTTCTTATGCATCTGAAAGTTGGCCTGTGAGTAAGAATGACAGATATTACTAATGCCTTTGAACTGTTTTGCTGGATAAAGTGCACCCATGCACCCATGGGGCAACTGAGGCAAGAATAGTGAAACTCCGTCTCACACACTTTGGGCATAGTGTCAGGAGGGACCTGTACTTGGAAACAGACATCATGCTGGCAAAGGAGGAGGGTCATAAAAAAGAGGAAGACTCTCAATAAGATGGGTTAATACAGTAACAACGGTCTTGAGTATGGTGGAGACAGTGAGAATGGGCAGGACAGAGCAGCGTTTTTACTTGTTCATAAGAAGGCTACTTAATGGCACTTAACAACAACAACATGATATGGACTGGTCAGGAATTATATATATGATCATGTATTATTTCAGCTTATCATGCTTGCTATATAATAAACTAAAAAACCCTTCAAGCCCACTACTGTCAAGTAAATTCTGACTCATGGTGACCCTTCAATGTATTATTGAGGCTGAATATCTTTGTGGGAGCAGACTGCCTATCTTCTTCCCACACAGGCTGAGAGATTCAAACTGTCAACCTTTTGACGTTTCCCAACGTGGAGAGTAGTATGCCATCAAGGCTCCTTTATTAGACAACAGATACTACAAATATTTACTGAATGAAGAGTGTTACTATTATCCTTGAACCAATACCCTATAAAGCTTTCACAAATAGTCACATAACACAGGACATATTTGAGGAAAAGCTAAGAAACATCAACTTAATATCTTTGTAAAACATTAGAGTAATTCTGGCTAGTTAGCAGCCCTGTATTCTTGACCATTCTATAGGAAAGGAAGAAAAAGAAAAGTGCCCTTTCTGAGTAGAATGCTTTGCTTTTAATTTATGCTTTAAATGCCACCAACATCCAGAGAGGAAGAGAAGTATCGGTCAACTGTAATATTACAGTAATTTCTAGGTATTTGACTAAAATGGGAATGAAGAGATTTTTTAAAAGGAGGTCTATTTAATACCACCTTTCCTGGGTAGAGAACATTAATTGACAATGTGAAGAATGCTTACCATCAAGTCTCTTCAGCAGGTCATTCTTTGGTAAGGAAATTACTTCCACAAATTCTAAACAAACAGAATGTAAGTAAAAACAGTGTCAAGGAAGAGAGTCTACTAAAACCACCCAAAAGATCTAGTACCATAAGCGCTATGTGGTCTGGGAGTTGAATAGCATACCTCCATCTCCTGAAAAGAAACAAGAACAACATTTTAGCCAGTGGGAAGACAATGATGTATTTTTATGCAAAACATATAAAAAGTATCAGAATTTAACAGTAACCTGGAACTATGGTTAACAGGTGAAGACACAAAAAACATCAGCAAAACAAAAAGATAAAAAATACCCTGGAATATAACTATATCTTATCCTGTAGTACACGTATTTGTAATTTAAAAAAAATCACCATTTACAATGAGATGCAGTGTGATAAATTTGAAATGTATGAAGAAACAATTTAGGAGGATCAGAAATGACAGAATTTTCATCCTAAAATGACTGAGAGTGGAACGTAGGTAAGAAGTATCCTTCTTTAAGGAGGTGACAGACATGATACGGAACTGAAATATTTTTGATCCAGATACAGCATTTATTATAATTTTTCAAGAAACAAATATTACAGCTTTTATTCATACTTTCCAAGAAATGCAAAGAATTTCCTAACAGTGTCTCTATATACTGTCTCAGTAAAGAAGTAAGCGGGTGCCCCTTATCATGTACTTATTGATAACATTCTTAGATCCAGGTCTTCATTAGGGTGATTTTGGAATTTTCTTATCATTTTCTATTTAGGCCTACAGTAAACTCCATAAAGAAACTTGGCAAATGTAATTTAGCATGTTATATAAAAACACATAATGAAATATAAAAGAAAATGCTAAAATGCATGAGATTAATAGCCAACAATATTGAAGAAATGTCTACTAATAAATAAAAAATGTTAAAGAATTGGGGGGGTTGGGTAGGGAAAAAAGTGTAACAATGTGTAACTGGAAATCCTAACCCTAAACCTCTGTAAACTTTCATTAAAATTAATTAAAAAAATTAAAAATATTTAATGCAATTCAATCCCGGCAAACATGACTTTAAACATCACCAGTACATACTTACCAGGTTTTGGTTTGGGTCTTACATTTTCAGGATCATCTCCATTAATTGTTACTGTCACAATATGTGCAGTACAGTTGGACAAACCTGGATCCATACATACAGCTATGGAAAAGAAGTAACAATCTTACGTCATTTGTTTCACTCCTTACATAAAATAGGAAGAAGACTGGTCACATAATTAGCATGCAGAGTTTATGTAGAAGAATTATTCAGTATAGAATAGCTTGCAGAGTTGTAGAGTTTAAATACTCTTATTTTTCTAAGGTTCTTAATTTTGGCAACTCAGGGGTTACATGGTACAAGTTGTAAAATCCTTTCACCACTTCTACAAAACCCCTAGTCTTTTAGGAAGGAATTTGGCATGTGGATGAAAGATTAGTAAATAATAAAAGCTTAAGATGTAGGAAATTCTAAAGGCAATTTCAATTGACTCCAACTTTTGGTCGTTCCAACTCAACATATTTTCAAAAGGAAGTTCATTTCCAGGTGGCAACCAATTCTGATATATTATTTATACCTGTAAGAATCTACTGCTGTGTTAATTTTCAAGAGCTTAGACCAAGAGCACAAGTGGGAAGCAATACACACCTGGCGAGCTTTCAGCAACATCACCTTTGTAACCAGTTTCCTCTTCAAGCTCCCGAAGAGCAGCTGCTTCTGGGCTTTCATTATCATCTATGAGACCTAAAAGTCCAAATCATCTGTCAGAAGGGATGGAAAAGTATAATATTCTTCAAACTCCTCATTCTATCAGCTACTGCTGAGCTGTGCTAGTGAATGAGAGGATGGTGCAAAGTGGCCTTTGAGGCTTGGAACTATGACCAGATGTGGGTGTGGAGATGGCAGTGGAGAATAACACTCCAGGAAGATTAAGATAGTTATCTGATGTTCTTCATATTAAAACAGTTTATTTTCTTGAACATCTCAACACAAACATTTTTTTTTTGCTGCTGACATCAGTAGTTTATTTTATGTTTAGTCCAAACACATTCAAAATGGAAACCCAAAGAATACTTTCCACCTAAAACAATGAAATGAGATTATACTAGCATATAATGCTTAACACATTACAGCAATAAAGATGGTTATCCATTATCTTCTATACCTACTAAAGCCAAGATGGTAAAGTCAATTTGGTTGCAATAGTGTCAAAAGGATAGATTATTACCATAAAAAAAAACAAAACACCCAAAAGACAAAAAACCAAAATCAGCAAATAACAGTAATGGTAGATGATTATTTTTGCTCTGTTTCACTGAAAGGGGGACATAATGTTAAAAGTCCATAGTACTGCAGGTGAACAATCACCATGTAAACTTCTCCATATGATGTTTTATTCATGGTATGTAAAGACTGAAGCTGAATGACTCTTTGCTCTAATTTTTCATTACACTTAGTTATTTGTCATTGCTTTTGGTGCCAAAACATATAGTTTTATGAGTAGTAGGGCAATACATGGGATAAGGAGGGAAGGAGTCTAAACATTTTATATATAGATAAGATGGAAAGAAACAACAACAAGAACAAAAATATCCCACTAATTTTGGGGGTAAAGGGGTAAGAACACTGACAATAAGCCACTTATTTAAAAGCAGTTTGAATAAAGCCTCCAAAACTCGAAAGTAAGCTTCTAGTGAAAACTTCAAGTACTATACCTAACATCTGAAAATGTAAAACTTTCAAACAGATGGAAAACAAAAAACCTTTAAACTCAAAAAATAGAAATATAACACAAACATTTTTAAAGGGAATGGACAGCATATTTCTTTTTTGATGTTGTTGGGTGTTTTTTTTTTAAAATAAATTTTAATGGAAGTTTACAGAGACTTAGGGTTTCTAATCATTCAGCATTGTACTTTTCTCCCTGCCCACCCTCTCCTCCTCCCCAATTCGCTCTTCTCTTTGAAAAGTAGAAGAAAAATTCTTTCATTGTAATACAATCCCTCTACTCCACTGTGCAGCCTTCATTCTGGACTCCTGTCATGACAATAATACTTGATCATATATCCCTTTTAAACAGTTCTTTCTCTCATCTGTTTCAATTAAGTATGCATTATTTATCTCCTCTTTCTCAGTTTTTCCTCAACCCTGATGTCAGTTCCGTTTTACAACAGTGGTCCTGTGCAGTATTTGTCCTTTTGTGACTGAGATATTTCACTCAGCATAATGTCCTCCAGGGTCACCCATTTTGAATAATATTTCATGAGTTACCCCTTTTCAGTGCAGCATAGTATTCTATTGGGTGACTATACCACAGCTTCCCTATACATTAGTTTGTTGATGGGCACTTAGGTTGTTTCCAACTCTTTGCTACTGTACCATTAAATTGGTACATACAACTCATAGAGGACCCTCTAGTAGGTTTTCAGAGGCAATATATCACATGGGAAGAGACTGCCCAACTTTCTCCCATGGATGAGTGGGTGTATTCGAACCATGTGCCTTTGGGTTGACAGCACAACTCCTTATCTCTAAGCCACCAAGCTCCTATCTTACTGTGCAAGTAAAAAATTATTCCATTTGAAATTAATTAAGATAATTTCCTTGGTCATCTTATGTTATGAATGTCCAAGATAGGTTTTTGTGTTTTTGCTATCTGTAGGAGTTAGGCATTTGTTGGCTACTTATTACTGGAAATTACTTATACAAGGGAAATATTATTGGTGATAGAAACAACTGATTTATAAAATTAGTAAAGGACATAGAGACTTCAACAAAGAAGTCATTCAGATGGCCAACAAACACATCAAGAAGTATTCATGATCATTAGCTATTGTTGTTGACTGCTGTCGAGTTGAGCATGACTCATAGTGATCCTATGAACAAAAGGCCTGAAGCCTTTCTGTAACTATTGACATTTATCAAAGTTCATAGTTTTCAGAAGCATATTGTTAGAGGGATGAAAATAAAAACAATGAGATACCATCTCACATCAGCAAAAATGTTTAATAGGACAGAAAACAATAAATGCTGGCAAGAGTGTAGAGAGATTAGAACTCCATACACGGTATCAAGTTCACAACTTATAGCGACTCTATGAACAACTGACCAGACCTGACACCATCTCTGATACGCTCCAGTCCATCATTACAGTCTCTGTGCCAGTGCCTAACTGGGAGGTAGGGGTGGGTGTCTTCCTGTTTTTCTCTGACCCTCCACCTTTCCAAGCATGATGTCCTTTTCCAAAGATGGCCTCTCTTGACAACATGCCATGTATGTGAGATGAAGTTTCACCATGCTTAAGAAGCACCTTGGTTGCACTTCCTCCAAGATACACTTGTTCTTTTTGTGGTTCATGAGATATTCAGTACTCTTCTCGAACACAACAAGTCAAAGGCATCAATACTTCTCCCCTCATCCTTATTCACTGTCCAACTTTAAGATGCATAGGAAGTAACTGAATATGCTATGGCTTGGGCCAGGCACACCTTACGTCTTTAAACAGCACTGTTACTGTTACTCTTTAGCACTTTGGAGAGGTCCTTGACAGCAGATTTTTCCCACTGGAACAGGTCTTTTGATTTCTTTTTTTTTTTAAAATTTTTATTGTATTATTTTTACGTGTACCGTCAAACTAGATCTGACAGGTAGGAGGAGATTGTTCCTCCTTCTCCAGCAGAGCATCTGGTGGATTTGAACCACATACCTCTGGGATTGGTCTTTTGATTTCTTTCTTTTTTTTTTTTTTTGAGTTTGATAATTTCATTTTAGAGATGTACAGAAACATCTTAAAGTCTTTTAGGAAAAGTAAAGTTTTTGTTGTTATTATTACTGCTATAACTGACAGACAATTGTCAGAAGGTTTGAATGAACCTGCATAATAGATATTAAGGTGTCTTGGTGGCAGAGTGGGATAATCATTGAACTGATAACAAAAAACTTGGTAGTTCAAACATATCAAGCAGTTTTATGAGGAAACAGGTGAGTAGTTTCCTCCTATAAGTCTTGGAAACATTACATTATGGGGCAGTTCTCTAATCTGTCATACACGGTCTCTGTGAGTAGGAATTCACTAGAGGGTTTGTGGTGGTTTTTTTTTTTTGCTCATGTGGTGGTAATAAAAATATTGAATATACCATAGATTGCCAGAAGAGTGAGCAATTCAATCTTAGAAGAAATGTAATCAGAAAGCTCCTTAGAAGCAAGAATGGTAAGATTTAAGCTAACATGTTTACTTTGAGCCTTGGTGACACAATCTTTAGGAGTTCCACCACTAATCCAAACATGATGCCTCTGTGGGTGGTTCCAAACTACCAATGACTCTATGGGAGAAAGATGAGCAGTCTTCTGTGTGTTGGTGGTTGTTCTTTGGTCTTTTGATTTCTTTTAAAACAGCTTTTTTTTTTAAATTATTTTTTTTTATTATTTTGTGTGCGTGTACTGTCAAATCAGATCTGACTGGTACAGGAGGATATTGCGCCTCCTTCTCTGGCACAGCGTCTGGTGGATTCGAACCGTGTTCCTCTGGGATTGCAGTGCAGCTTCTTGCCACTAGGCCACCAGAGCTCCCCCATGGTCTTTTGATTTCTTGATACTGTTACCATGAGTGTTGATGGTGGATTTAAGCAAGATGAAATCTTTGACAACCTTTTCTCCATCTATTATGATGTTGCCTATTGGCCCAGTGGCTTTCTGTCTCCCAGAGAATTTTTGTCTTCTTGATGTTGAAATGCAGTGTACAATGAAGGCTGCAGTATTAAATCTTCTGCAGCAAGTGTTTCAAGTCCTCTTCACTTTCAGCAAGCAAGGTTGGGCCATATAATGAGTATAATTAGTCTTTCTCCAATCCCGATTCACATTTTTCTTCATATAGTCCAACTTCTCGAATTATTTGCTCAGCATACAGAATGAATAGGCATGGATAAAGATACAAACCTAACATGTCATTTCCTGATTTTAAAACATGCAGTATTCCCTAGTTCCATTTGGAGAACAGTTTCTTTGTCTAGGTATAGGCTTCTCATGAGCACAATTAATTGTTCTGGGATTTCTGTTCTTCTCAATGTTATCCATAATTTGTATGATGCACACACTGATGGTATAAACGTAAAATGGTGCAGCCACTATGGAAAGTAGTTTGGTGTTTCCTTAGAAAACTGGGAACAGATATACCATTTGATCTGGCAATCTCATTATGAGGTTTATATCTCTCATTATGAGGTTTATATCCCAAAGAAATCAGAGCTGCAGAACAAACTGATACTGCACATTATTTACAAAAGCAAAGAGTTGGAAACAACCTAAGGGTCTGTCAAAGGACAAATGGCTAGAGAAATTCTGGCACATTTACACAATGGAGTATTATTATGTGTCAATAAACATTATCATGTGCCAATAATTTGTGAAATACTGAACAGCATGGATGTATCTAGGGCAAATTATGCTGAGTGACTTACATCAGTCACAAAAGACCACTAACATAAAAAGCTAAAGAAAGGTTCACATACAGAATAAATCGTGAAGGGTCAAAAGGGATGAGAAGAGGAAAAAACCCACCACAATGCAATTTAGATGTTACCTATAATTTAGTCTTTCTGAAATTCTTTTCCTCAATTTTACCTCTCCAACTTTGAGACTTAAGACTGCAGCACAGAATGATTTAGGAGGCAATGAATCTAGAAACTATTATAGACTTGGCACATGGCTTGTTTCTGCCATTTAGATTTGAAAATGTATATTAAAGTATCATAAGATGTCCACAAAACTCAAGCAAGTGCTGGAAATGAAATAAGCAGATTAATAAGGATGTGAGTTTACAAAGAAAATAGAAAGTTGGTAAGTTGACAGACCGTGGAAAAGTAAGAAATTACTCAAATAATAGTCTAGATAGAATGCTCTGGTACCACGTTTTATTTTGCCATCTTGGGTTTGGATGACCACTACAGTAGTTTTCACATCTGTTGCTTACAGGGTCACTGTGAGTCACTGTTGACTCAAAGCACCCAACAGTAACAATAAATTAGTGTTGCCAGTGGCCTAGAATAGTCTGTAGAAATTGATTTGGTTTACTTACAACCACAGGGACTTATAAAAAGGGTTAAATTTGGAAGCACTGAAGTTTCCAGAATTTGCTCTGGCCCCATCCAGCAATGCCATAGACGTTTCTTCTGTCTGGTTACTCACCTGCAGGGAATTCTATACAATAGCCACCCATTGGAGGACGGAACTGTTTCACCAGAACAATACATTCATAATGAAGAGTTCTTTGCAGCACTGGAATAATTGCCACACCTACAAGCCAGAAAAATACAACCAAGAAAATCTATCATCAAGGATCAGTAATACCAGCCATTTATTTAGTTTAATCTAAATAAAATATCATGGTTTAAGAAGCCTTATATCACAATATACTTGCTATTGCCTATTAGAAGAAAGGAAATTAATCTATAATATGGGCAATTAACTTTAGAAGCTATTCTAAATTAAAGAAAAATTACACTTCCATGTTGTTTGAATTTTCTCTTGATACACTAATCTCTACATAGAACTACTTTTCATCATACATCTACCATTTATGAAGCCTTATTCTGGTGGTGTAGTTTGTAGAGAGTTGCAGTGCTAAGCCCAAGGTGGTACTTCTCTGGCATTTTGAATTCACCAATGGTTCTGTGGGAGAAAGAGGGACTATTTCCTCCTTTTTTAACTTGTAGCCTCTCAAAACCATTTGGAGGGTCAGCTATGAGATGCTTCTGGCTCAAATGCAATGACAGAGTATATTTCCTTAAAGTTATAAATCAATTAAGTTCCACTGTAGTATATACCAGCTTAGGATAGCATAATAAGCAGAATTTTATTTTTTTTATAGGATAAAAGACATTTATCCTCCAAGTTTTTACACTTAATGAAACCAACTCCTGGGTAGAAAACACCAGCCAGGAGCAGTACCTGGTTTTTCTTAAATACTTTTTTATCAGCTAAAAACTAATAGCTGCAGCAGATCAACAACTCTTGTTTGCTTCACTACAAAGAGAAAATAAAGCACAGTGGAAAGATACCCAAGAAGAAAAAAACTTCTGCCCAATTCCCCTACACAAGATATGGTTTTCGGGATTGACTGACTGATTGATTTTAATTTTTTTTTTTTTTTTTGAGAGAGGCATTGCCTTGTCAGTGAAAGCATTCATGCCTGGAAGGGAAAGTGAATAAATGACTAGTGTTTCGCCAGTCCCACTTCCTCTTCAACTTGCAAAAGAAATGTTCTGGTAAGCATAAAACTGTGCTACATACTTTTTTAAAAAATAAAAGCTCTCACTTAGACTGTTGAAAAGGACAGTTAAATATTTCTAGAAATCATAACACAACTAGATACAATATGTAGCTTCAAATCATGACTTATGTCTGGTCACACATAATCAGGAATCCCAGAGTGGTTAAATGCTCAGCTGGAAGGCTGGCAATCTGAATCCACTCAAGGAAATCTGCAAGAAAGTCCTGGCAATCTACTTCCAAAGTGCTGAGCCACTGAAAACCGTAGGGAATGTAGTTCTACTATGAAAGACATGGGGTCACTAGGATTTGGAACGGATACAATAGTAAACTGGTTTTTGGTTTTATAAATGCCAGTATTATCAACTCTTAAATCATTCTTCTGATGTTAGATACTAGGAGCCAGAAATTTTTTTTTCCTTTTTTATGTGTGTACCGTCAAATTGGATCTGACTGGTACAGGAGGCGATTGTTCCTCCTTCTTCAGCAGAGCATCCGGTGGATTTGAACCGCGCACCTCTGGGATTGCAGTACAGTTTCCTGCCACTAGGCCACCAGAGCTCGCCAAAAATTTTTTTAATAAGAATACTTTCAAGGTGTGCCTGATTCAGACCACAGTCTTTGCAATTACTTGCTATGCATCAGAGAGCTGGTCAATGACTAAGGATGACAGAAGAATAGATGCCTTTGAGTTGTGGTGCTGGAGAAGAGTACTGAATAGATCATGTACCACCAAGAGAATAAATGGGTTTATCCTGAAGAGGTTGACGCCAGGCTGCTTCTTTGAGGCAAGGATTTTGAAGCTCCATCTCACATACTTTGGGTGCATGGCCAGGAGGAACCAGTCCCTGCAGAAAGACATCATGCTTGGAAGGGTGGAGGGACAGCAGAAGAGAGGAAGACTCTGATGAGATGGATTGACACAGTAACTGGGATAATGCGTATAGGTGTGTTGGAGTGAGTGAAACTGGCTCAGGATAGGCTATGGTTCAGAGCTATTGTACATAAGATTGCTATGAATTGTAGGTGACTAAAAGGCACATAACAACTTGTTTTAGTAGCAAAGCATGCTGTTGTTGCTTTTGGGTGCTGCCAAGTCAAGTATGACTCACAGCAGCCTTATGAACAACAAATCTATCCCATGCCATCGTCATCACCTATGACACACCCAAACCCACTGCTGTGGTCACTGACCTCAGTCCACCTGGTTGAGAGTCTTCCTTTCTTTTGTCGTCCCTCAACCTTTCCAAGCATGATTTCCTTCTCCAAGCAACATGCCCAAAGTATATGAGACGAAGCTTCATCATCTTTGCTTCCAAGGAGCATTCTGGCTATACCTTCTCTAAGACATATCTGTTAATTCTTTTGGCAGTCCATGGGATATTCAGCACTCTTTTCCAACACCACAGTTCAGAGGCATCAATTCTTCTTCTGTCATCCTTATTCACTGTCCTGCTTTCAGATGCATAGTAAGTGACTGAGAAGTTTATGGTCTGAATCAGATGCACTTTAGTCCTCAAACTGATAACATTGCCCCTCGATAATTTGGAGAGATCCCTAAAATCAGTCTTTTCCAGTGCACTATGTTTCCTGATCTCCTGATTGTTGTACCAAGCATACTGATTGTGGATCCAAATAAGATGAATCTATTGACAGTTTCAATCTTTTCTCCATCTATCATCATCCTGCCTATTGGTCCAGTGGTGGTGGTGAGCAAAGCAAAGAGAAAACTCCTTTATTGCTTCTGAGTTTGAACTGACTCATAGCTATGTTAGAAGCTGTAAATAATATGAGGGAAGACTGCCTATCTTTCCCCCATGGAGCTGCCATTCCACTGGGTTCTTGTTGTGTGCCACCAAGTCAGAAATGATCCACAGCTAAACCTCCAGGAGGTTTTCAGAGGGAGTATGATGCATGGGAGGCACTGCCCATCCTTCTCCCATGGAGGCAACTGGTGGATTCGAATGGAGTACCTTTGGGATTGCAGTGCAGCTTCTTACTATTAGGCCACCAAAACTCCTGGCGGTTGCAAATCACATGGGAGGAGACTGCACCTCTTTCTCTGTGGAGAAGCTGGTGGAGTCTAACTGCCAGAGGGGTGCCGTCTTTGGGTTAGCAGTGTAAATACCTACAGACTATGCCGCCAGAGGCTTGCTCAGAAAAGAATTGTAGTAAAAGACCAAAACTGAAGAGAATTCTGCCCCTGAGGTTTTGTGTTTTTTTTTTTAAAAGATCTACATTTAGCATAAGAGTAGTTGCTAACTTCTCTTCTAAAGACAGGTGTATTAAGTGTGCAATCATACCATCGGCTGACTGTCCTTTCCTGGTTGTGCGTTTCACAGTTTCCCAAGTTCTGTTTGGGCAGAGAAGGAAAAACAAAATCATTAAGCTAGAAAGAGAAGATAATTCTTAGGTTTGCCCAAAGCCAGAACTTTACAAATGCAAGCATGCAAATGCACTCATCTACTGATCCAAAAGACCAGGATACAAAAAGTCTAATCGTGCTTTCTTACAGAAAAATCCTGCTACCCTATACCTATCGCTCTATAGCTTGTGTTGATCACTTACGTTGAAGCTTTTTTTTTTTTTAAATTTTATTATTTTTGTGTGAGTGTACCGTCCAATCACATCTGACTGGTACAGGAGGAGATTGTCCCTCCTTCCCCGGCAGAGCATCTGGTGGATTCGAACCGTGTGCCTCTGGGATTGTAGTTGCAGCTCCTTACCACTAGGCCACCAGAGCTCCCCACGTTGAAGCTTTAAAACCATTTACTATGAGTAACTTGGTTCCTAAGTCTAATGGCGAGCAGACAGTGGGTGATTTTAGGTTTGAAAGCTATTAAGGAGTTTATGCAAATTAAGTCCCCTCTGAAAATACGAGACCTATCTCTAAAAACAAAAGAAACTGAATATAATGTCAATCACTGAAACAGTTACTTAGTTTATCCTTTAAAAGCATGTGACTTGAAATTTGAAATTTAAAGAAGGAGGCCTCTTTAAGTTCACAATTGAGGAGTTATTAAAATATAGTAAGTGCTTTATTAAACTGTGGCAAGTGCTTGGCACATGTGTGATCTTAGATGGACAGGGCCCCCAAAAGAACAACAACATCAAAAAAGGCAAATAATAACAGACTCTTGCTCCTTTCTATGGCTTAAAGCCCTGGTGATTATGTTCAAGGCTGCAAACCATTATGTCAACAGTCTGAACCCATCAGCTGCTTCAAGGTAGAAAGATGAGGTACTCGACTGCTAAGATTTTTAGCCTCAGACAGAGGGCCATCATGAATCAGAAGCAACTGGATGGCAGTGTGTTTGGTTTTATGTGTATGGCTTATTCATGATTCAGTACTGGTTTCCAGTTGGTTTACCTAGTTCAGTTTTTCTTCTTTATTAAAATTTGTGACAGTTCTTCTGTGCAGAGTGGTACTGGAGTTAATCATGTTGTTTAAAGGAACAATGGTGTATGGGACACTCCCCTTCACTCTCTAATCCTTTAAATAGAAAAAGGCAGTTGTAAGAGAGGAATGAAGGAGGACCTCCTGCATTATTATTGCTTCTGAAAACCCCCTGGAGTGCCAACTATGAGTTGGTTTCCACTCAATGTCACCCAACAAGAACAACAACTTCTAAAAGAAGTTAGTCATCTGAGTGGCTCTGGGGATTGAGATAAGGAGTCAGAATCTGTCTCGTTGTCTTCTTTAGTTAAGGAAGGTGTCTCATATTTATTTTTTATTTGTCTTAAGGACAAAAATCTTTGTCCCTAAAGTTTGGACTTGGTCACATTTCTGTAAAAAAAATTCCAATATTTCATCTGGTGACAAACAAAATTAAAAAAAAAAACAACAAAAACCACACACACAAAACAATCCCTCTGTAAACTGTAGATATTTCTAAATTCTAAAGGATAATCATGTCAAAATGAACCTATGAAAATACAATATATTACTTTGAAACTCAGAGCAACTCAACATTCCTGTTAGTAGCAAGAAGCCAACTGGCAAGCAATTCTGATAAGTAAACAATCCAGGCTGGAACAGACAAAAACACCTTTGGCATAACTCTCACAGCAGCCTCCTAACGTTAGTCCTAACGACTGAAGAAGAGAGTGTCAGGAGAAGCACCGCAGGTTCTATCCCAAAAAACTAGGAATAAGTGGGAAAAAGAGAACAGCATCACTGTAGTGGTTATGAAGACAGAAAGGAGGAGGAACAGGCCACAAATAATAAGCAATAAAATAGAAATTTATTTATGACAAGTCCTAGAAGAAGAATGCCCCACAAGAGCGCCAAGAATCTGGACAGCACTTTGAGCTTTGTCTCTCCTTGCCTCCTTAACCACAGCCAAAGCCATAGCCTATCTGAAACACAACTTAGAATTTGTGAAACTAAAAATGTGAGTCACCTTGATTGTCTCTTCTAGTTTTAGAATTTTGATTCGAGTCAAGCTACCCCATCATTTAGTCCCCTGTGCTGTAGGAAACACTCTTCTGCTCTCTGCCCTGTAATCATTCTATTTAGGATCAGAAAGGGTGACAATGTGTGACTTCAACAGCCTCCAGAATGGCATGTTGTCACATATTTTTATGGTTCTAAAATGAATTCCATATCCTCTTCCTTGAGCAAGGCAATAGAACAAGAGATTCTCTAGCTGGTATTTTACCCTATATAGACATGCTTTGATATCTTCTTATGGGGTAAAAAAATCTGTACATTCATAAATCAAGGTCTACTGGAAAGTAGAGAGTCATTCTTTAAAGCTTCATACAGAGGTATGGAATAGTAGTATCTTACATAAGATCTCTTCTGAGGCCTCCATATGAAAAGTTAAAGTTGAACATGATATAAACATGTAATACAATGTTGTAATACAGTAGAGATTTTAGAGTCCCACTCTCATACTACTCGAATAGACTTTCATTAACTGAGACCTAAACATTAGTATTTTGAAAACATCTATAAATGGTTCTAATACAAATGGTCCTTGATGGAAAAATACTGGAAAGGAAGAAAAGCCAGGGAAAAGACAAGCTGTTTTAAAACAAAGCATACTTTATAGACCAGTACTAAAAAGTTACAGCATATATTATAATGTTACAGAAAAGAGAGAACCAAACTGTACCACAATAAGCTGCCTTCCAATCTATCTATATTTTCACAAGTACATTTGAGTACTGGCATATATGAACTCACCATGTTCCCTAAGGCTTGAGACTTACCACAATGTTGTACTGGGTTTGGTTATTATACCCTACTTATTTCACACTTAGTTTTACATTGTCAATAGTTTTTTCTTCCAATATGTTGATGGTCACAGTTCTGTCTTTTGGGTTTTAATGTAATAGTGCTTATATTAATTTAATACACGTTTCAAATAGTCCTCTATCATTAGGCCTTAATTACGTTTTTGCTAGTTTAAGCAAGCAAGCATAATCAAAACTTGTCAAAATTGCTGGTAAATCCACGTACTTTTTGAATTCATGATTTTTATTTTCTTTATGCAGACATTATACTACTTTTTAATAATATCAACATAAAAATTCTACTTATAAATTTATGAATTTATATTATGTACTCATTTTATCATTCACATTTCATTTAATACATATTCATTGTATTGAATACACTTTTCCAGAAAATTATTTATGTAAAAAGATTATAAATAGAACATCTGGAAAATAGAAGAAAAAAGGTTATTTGCACAGCTGTTATTAAAATTTTGCTAGTTTTCCCCAGCCTATTCTTACACATTATTAATTTTATACAAATATAAAAACATTCAGTTTTGTTTTCAATGTACTTTTTTATATTGCTAGATTATTTTCATAATCTGCTTTATAGATGGTTGCTCAGATTTTACCACATAAATAAACTGTAAAAGAAAATAATTTTTATTTTTAAAGGTGTTTTAGGCTATTTTCCTTTTTTTGTTTGCTATTTTAATTTTTTTCTTCCATTTAAAATTTTGATGAACATTTTTCATTCACAAAATTATTCCAAGTAAGAGAAAGTGTCCTTAGAATATTCTCAGTGGGATTTATTCCCTGTCTTTAAGGTTTTTATATATGTGTGGATATATTCATAGTGAAATGCTTTACAGAAAAGCATATCCCATTTACATTAACCTGAGGAAGGTTTAAGCACCTCAAATACAGCAATATTTCTCCTTAATTCTTCTAATTTGGAAATGAAAAATTCAACTAAAGGAAGTCACTTGTACTGCTAATTATTCTGCCAACTTACCAGAAATAGATGAAATTAGGCCTGCTCCCCAGTGTTTTGGGTCTACACTAGCTACTTTTGGAGAATGATGTAAAAGTAGATTATTGATTAGTTACTGTCATCAATTTAAAAACTAATTTTAACTAGAGATTATAAATGATTTAAACATTCTAACAGTGGGAAGAACAGTTAAGAGTATTTAACAGAATTTACAATGAAGAAAAATGTCAAAATGTATGCCAATATTAAACAAGAGACCCCAAGAATGTAAATACTCAGCATTTTAGAAGAGGAGAGGAAACAGTTTACCTTGTTTTACCAGTAGGATCCATGTAGGTTGTTTTTTCAAGTTTGACCCATTTTCCTTCTGAAATTATCTAAAGAGACCAAACAATAAATTAGGAAACTTAAAATCAAACTGTTTAATAATCTAAAAAGGTTTTGGTCTTCCAAATTTGCTCTATCTGATCCTCCAATAAACTTACTTCTTTCTCAATAATTAGTGATCAATTTATATTCAGGTCAGAGTTAAGCATTAAAAGTTGTTTTCCTAAAGGATGATTCTGTTTCTGTTGGGGGTTTTGAGGTGGTACTGGAGAGGAAAGGAAATGATTGCCTGAAAACTCCTTGGGGAGTGGGGAGTGGGTGCAATGAGGAGCATAAAAGGGCAAAGACGGCAGACATAGTAGTGTCTTATGGGAGATTCCTAATATTCTGTCTTCTTATGTGGGCAGTCACACACACATTGCTGTAGAGTTGGAACTGACTCACAGCTGACTATCCACTGGGTTTTCAGAGGCTGTAAACCGTGTGCCTTTCTCCCATGTGATAGTGGATTAACTTTCTATGAACCACGTCACCAAAAAGGTGACTTTAAAGCTTTCTATATCTGGGCAGTGGCTCACTATATAAATATTCAATAATGATTTTTAGGTCTTAATGTTTTCCTTAATGGAAACAGGAAAGTTGACTATGAGAAAGCCATATCCAATAACTGAATTTCCTATGATGACATGTGAGTGTCCCACCTAAACTGAGAAGGGCATCCTGAGATCGTTCTGCTTTGACACTGAGCTGATGGCCCAAAGGCTAACGTACCTATGGCACTACAACAAACTGAAACGAAAACTACAGTGTATGTAAAGTAGTAGTTTTTTGGTACAAGATAATCTTTCACTTCTTGCAAGCACCAAGCCCAAAGACAATATGAAAATATTTAAAAAAGAATTCAAAAAGGTGCCAAAATTAGAATTCAAAGATAAAGAGTTTAAAATTATCCATTACAATGGTTCCTGCAGGAAGATTTTTTAAAAAATGATTTATTTCATTATGCTGAGTGAAATATCTCAGTCACAAAAGGACAAACATTGTATAGGACCACTGTTGTAAAACAGGACTGACATCAGGGTTGAGAGAAGACAGAAAAGAAGGGGAGGAATGATGCATATTACATTGAAACAGATGAGGAAGAGAGCTGTTTAAAAGGGACATATAAATGGGTATTCTTGTCATTACAGAAGTCCAGAGTGAAGACTGCATAGTGGAGTGAACTTGGGGGGAAGGGACTGCATAACCATGAAAGAGTTTTCTTTTTCTTTTCAAGGAGAAGAGTGATTTGGGGGGAATGGGGTGGGCAGGGAGAAAAGTACAACAATGAATGGCTGGACACCCTGTTTCTTGTAAACTTTCATTAATATTAATTTTAAAAAAATTACCACAAAGGAAAGAAAAAAAAAGTGGCTAAGTAAGTACGGGGGGCCGGGGGGAAGGGAAAATATGTTTTAAAAGCTAAAATGAATAACATATAAGATATATATTAGTTCTAGAACTCATGGAAATCATATTGCAATTAACTGCTTTCAACCAAGATATGATCTAAGTATCAAATGTCTAAGCCCTAAACCTCACATATATTTTTCCATCAGAAAAATTTTTCATATTAAGTGAAATTTTTTCTCTCTCAAGAGCCCAGATCCTCTTTGCAATTGTCTCACTTTATCTAGCGCATATAATTAAGAGGGATGCAGCTTCTCTAAATGCAAAGCATTCCTGAGCCCTAAAAAAGAGGGCAGAAAAAAGAATTTATATTTCTAAGAATTATAAATGATCTGCAACAATGAATGAATGGAAATTCAAAGTCTGTAAATTTTCATTAAAATTAATAAAAAAAATTGTTAAAAAAGAATTATAAATGATCACTTGAAACTATCAAAACAGGCTACAATTTCTTTTAAACTCAGACTATATGGTGAAAGGAAAGGGAGGTGAATATCAATTTATACCTCCTCTGAAATAATAGACTGTTTGGCTGTTTGAGGAGAGTTCATTGCTTGGTTTTCCATTTTCACACTGGAAAGTTGTTGCAGTCTTCAGTGAAGAAGTTCAGGCTGTAAGAGAATGAGATCTGTTTTGGTTAAATTTATTTTCTGAGCAACACATTTGTCTATATAGATGACTGGTCAAAGCATTTAAACGGTAAAATAACCTTATCTATCCACCATCAAAGTTGTTTCACTTGTGTGAAGGTATGGGAGGATGTCCTAGAGAAAATACAAAGGCTATGGTGATGTTGTTGTTTGTGCCATCAAATCTATTAGAATTCAAGCACCACAACAAGATAAAGGTAAATAATCCAATAGAAAATTGGGCACAGGATATGAATAGACACTTCACCAAAGAAGACATTCAGATGGCTAACAAGCACATGAAGAAATGTTCAAATTCCCTAGCTCTAAGAGAGATGCAAATTAAAACAACTATGAGATATCATCTCAACCCAGTTAGAATAGCAAAATTTAACAAAACATCAAGGAACAAATCTGGTGAGGTTGTGGAGAAACTGGAACCCTTATTCACTGTTGATGGGAGTGTAAAATGGTGCAACCACTGTGGAAGGCGGTATGGCGCTTTCTCAAAAAGTTGCAAATAGAGATACCATTTGAGCCAGCAATCCCACTACTGGAAATATACCCCAAAGAGACCATAACTGACATCCAAGCAGATATATGCACACCCATGTTTATCGCGGCTTTGTTCACAATAGCAGGGGCCTGGAAACAAAAACGAATGGATAGAGAAGCTGTGGTATATTCACAAAATGGAATCCTATGCTGCATTAAAAAAGAAGAAAGTCGTGCAATATTAATCAAAATGGGTGACCCTGGAGGACATTATGTTGAGTGAAATATCTCAGTCACAAAAGGACAAATGATGTATGGTGCCACTGTTGTAAAGCAGGACTGACCTCAGGGTTGGGAGGAGACTGAGTAGGATCGGTTCAATAATGTATACTGCATTGAAACAGTTGAGGGAGAAAACTGTTTAAGAGGGAAAATTATTAGGTATTTTTGTCATGACAGAAGTCCAGAGTGAAGGCTTATAGTAGAGTGGACCTGAAGGGAGGGATTGTAAAACAATGAAAGAATTTTTCTTTTACTTTTCCAAGAGGGTAGTGTACTAGGGGGGAGGGTTGGGAGGAGAAAAGTGCAACAATGAATGAATGGAAATCCAAAGTCTCTGTACAGTTTCATTGAAATTAATAATTAAAGAAAAAAAACAACAACACAAAAAACCAAACCAAACCAAAACAAACCCAAAATGGGTGACCCTGGAGGACATTATGATGAGTGAAGTATCTCAGTCACAAAAGGACAAATACTGCATGGTGCCACTGTTATAAAACAGGCCTGACCTCGGGGTTGGAGGGGAGATTGAGAAAGATGGGTTCAATAATGTATACTGCTTTGAAACAGTTGAGGGAGAAAACTGTTTAAGAGGGAAAAATTATTAGGTATTTTTGTCATGATGGGAGTCCAGAGCGAAGGCTGTATAGTGGAATGGATCTGGGGGAGGGATTGTAAAACAATGCAAGAATTTTTCTTTTACTTTTCCAAGAGGGTAGTGTACTAGGGGGGAGGGTTGGGAGGGGAGAAGAGTGCAACAATGAATGAATGGAAACCCAAGGTCTCTGTAAATTTTCACTGAAATTAATAATAAATTTTAAAAAATTAAAGAAATTAGAGTTAAAAAAATCTACTAGGATTCATAATGACCCTGTGAACAACAGATCTGAACCTTGCCCTGTTCTGAACTATGCTCAATGATCTTAAATGGGGGGCAGCCACCAAGGATGGCTTCCTACTGAAAATATGGCCAAATTAAGTAAGACAAATTTTCACCCTCCTTGTCTCTAAGGAGCACTCTTGGTTGCACTTCCTTTAAGATAGATTTGTTTGTTCTTTTTGTCAGCCCAAAGCATACTCAATAGTGTTTGCCAACACCATTCACCTGTCAGTTTGCTGTATTGTGGTGGCTTGAGAATTGCTGTGATGCTGGAAGCTATGCCACTGATGTTTTAAAGACCAGCAGGGTCACCCATAGTTGGACTTGTTTTAGTGGAGCTTCCAGATTAAAACAGAAGTAAGACTGGCCATCCACTTGTAAAATATGAGACCTTCAAACTAAAGACAAACACTATAGGAAACTTGAAATCATCCCATCTAGATTTTGTGCCTCTCCTTTCAACTAATGGGTTCCGCTAGGTGTATGGGAATCACTTCAAACTTGCTACCTTGTACTCTCGTCAGTTTTACCTTCTTCTTTCTCTTGGAAGCCTGTCCTGTGCCAGGACTGGCTGCCTCTCTGTCTGTGGCCGAACGCTTCCTGAGACTTCTTCTCACACTCTGGCAACTTCTTTAGTTTCTCTGTTGTGTTTAAATCCTATCTGTTGTATACCACTACTCCCTCTTAATCTTTCAGTTCTGGACCCTGCATGTATGAAAACCTTTTATCTGCCCTCACAATAGATTAATAATCTGACTGACTGTAGAATTATAGGCTAACATTAGTTTCTATCAAAACTTGAAGATACTTCACAACTACCTTGCCTCCAATGTTGCTGTTCTGTCCCCGTCCCCCCCACCCCCGCCTTTTCTATATAACCTGTTTTCTTTCTCTGGAAGCTTGCAGGTTATTCATATCTTCATGCTGATGTACCTGGGGCTGGTATTACTTTCATGTGTATTACTACTGACTTTGGAAACTACAGACTGTGTTTTACAGGGATCTTGAATTGTTTCAGTGATAATTTCCTCTCCTTCAATGAGAAATTCCGAAACTTTTTTTCTGATATGTATAATTTTTTTTTTAGCAATTACATTTCCTGGATTGATATTTATTTGCTTTCTTTTTAAAAACCTATTTTCTATTTCCTTGTTATTTTATCTGTATTTCTCAGCAGCCATCTTAAACCTTGACTACTACTCTTAAATTCCATAGTTCCCTACACCAATTCTAACTTTAGGTTTGGAGAAACTCTAAGGAAAACATCTTTCCTTTGTTTCTTCTAGATCCAAAGTAATAATTACCCATCAAATCTTCATTAGTAAGTTACCTCCAATGAAAGTAGACTACCCCACAACACAATGATCACTAAGCTTCTCACAACCTGTTCTTTACTCAGACCTTGCCTAACTCTAAAAAGAACAATGACAGCATTGTCTTTAATCTTAGAGCCAATCAATTTACCTTTCTTTATTCAAGCCTGTAGCAATCTGCTCTTCCACCATTCTAGGAAACGATTCTTTCCATTGCTTATACATACACAGTGCTTCCTCAGAGACCCTCCTGATCACTTCTCTATCTAAGCTATTTCTCTGCTTAGTCTCATCTGCTGATGGATTCAGCAATCATTTATAAGATAATTACTGGAATTTACTCCCTTAACCACATCTACTCATCATCCTCAAACTAGCAATGTAAGTATCGCCTCTCTTTTGTTCTATCAGTTGTTGTTAGGTGCCATCTAGTCAAGTACTACACAACACTGAACCTATTAACAACAGATCTGAACACTGTCCTATCCTGTGCCATACTGCTATTGCTGCAGTCACTGAGTCAACTCATCTGGTTGAGGATCTTCCTCTCTTTTGTTTACCTTTCACTTTTCCAGACATGATGTTCCTCTCCAAGGAATAGCTTCTTCTAGCAACATCCTCAAGTATTTGAGATGAAGCTTTATCATCTTTTCCTCCAAGAAGCACTCTGGCCAAAATGTCTCCAAGATATATCTGTTTGTTCTTTAGGCAGTCCATGGGATATTCAGTACTCTTCTCCAATACCACAGCTCAAAGACATCAATTCTATCATCATTATTCACTGTCCAACTCTCAGATGCACAGCAAGTGACTGAAAAGACCACAGCCTAAATCAGATGCACCTGGGTCTTCAAACTGAAATTACTACCCATCAACAATTTGGAGAGGCTTCTGACTGCAGACTTTTCTAGTGCAATACATCTCTTGATCCTCTTATTACTGCTACCAAGGGTGTTGACTGTAGATATGAGTCAGATGAAGTCATTGACAATTTCAGTCTTTTCTCCATTTATCATAACGTTGGATACTGGTCCAGTGGTGAGAATTTTTGTTTTCTTGACATTGAGATGCAATTCATATAGAAGACTGTAGTCTTTGATCTTCTCCATCAAGTGTTTCAAGTCTTTCTCACTTTCAGTAAGCAGGCTGTGTCATCTGCATAGTGTGCATAATCCATGAATCTACCTTTGATTCTGATACCACATTCTTCTTCAGAGTCTCCAGCTTCTTGACTGATTTGCTCAGCATACAAATAAACAGGTATGCAGAAAGGATATAACTCTGACACACTCCCTTCATGCAGAAAGGTTGCAACTCTGACAACTCCCTTCATGTAAAAAAGTTACAATTCTGACACACTCCCTTCTTAATTTTAAACCATGCAACAGTGTTCCTTTGCTATGCTTGCACAACAGCCTCTTGGTCTTAGGCATAAGTTTCACATGAGTATAACTCATAGGAACCCTATGAACAATAGATCTGAATCCTGTCTTATCCTGTGCCATTATCATCATCTCTGACATACCTTAGCAAGCCCATTGCTATAGTCACTGTGTCAGGGCCTCTTGTTGAAGATCTTCTCTCTCTTATGCTGACCCTCCACCTTTCCAACCATGATGCCACTTTCCAAGGAATTGTTCTTGTTAGGTGCTGCCGAGTCAAGTACAACTCATGGTGACCCTATTCAACAGATCTGAATCTTGTTCTGTCCTGTTGTCCTATCCACCCTCATCATCCATATTCTTAAGCTCACTGCTTCTGTCCCTGTATCATCCACTGTTGAGGGCCTTCCTCTCTTTTACTGACCCTTCTGTTCCCATTTTCTCTCTCATTGCCACTGAGGTGGAAACAACTCATAGCTGCCCCTCTATTAAGTTTTGGAGGCTACAAATCACAAGGGAGGGAGTTACAACCGGCCTTTGTGGTGTGCCTGCTGGGGTGTTGTGTGATCTATCTGCTGCAAATTT